AAAAAAAAAAAAAAAAAAAGGGAAGAAATGAAAAATTCGGCGCTGTCTGTTGTATTCGTAAGTGCTAAACCACACTTTAGTCGTGCTCGTGGTTAACTCGGTTGGCCGAGTTCGTCCACGACTCGAACGAGGTGTGTAAACAACGGTGTCTAAGCAAACACAATCGCGTGAAAAGGAAAAAGAAAAAAAAGGGGGGGCGGGAGGGAAAAAGAAAAACGAGACGGAGGCGAGTTGAACGACCGATGGAAAACGAAAGAGTGGACTTACCTTCGCTGGGTCAGACTTCTCGGACTCGTCGTTGAAGGTCTGCGAGCCACGGGACATGGTGTTTCTACGGGATGTCGTGGTGCCATCCTGCGAGGGGCGGACAAACTCGATTCTGCCACCCTCGACGACGATGTTCGGGGCTGGTGGGAAATTCTCTGCGTTACCGAGCGGATCGCAGTAGCCCAGCAGCCCGGCTTTCTCCCCGTACAGGGGGTGGATTTGTCTGCAACAGTCGGTAACGACGCGCTGTTGTTAGAGGGTTGCGAGTACAGATGGAGTCTCTATACCAGGGGATGAAACAGAGCATAGCTTTTCGATCAATTGAAAATATACCAAATCACAATCGAGAAAGTCTTGATGTTAAGAGATTCTAATCCTTCCATTAATCAAACACAGCTTAAAATCGTAGATAGTTTTATAAAAATTTGAAGCTTATATTATACTGTGTCATACAGTTTAGCAGTTGCATAGTTCTTATACTCTTAAATACATATAAGAATTAATTGCTAAGCTGTGATACTTAACGTACCAAGATATATTTATTTTTATAACAAGCTACGTTTCTTTTGTATATATGTAGTATTAGTTTCATATATATATATAAATTACATAATACATAATATATAATTATAGTTAGATCAAGGATAAGCCTGGAATTATTCAATAAAAAAAAAAAATTAGAGTAGCTTTCAGAATAGGTTTCAACCTTATCGTAGAATTCGAATACTTTTATGAGTATTTCCAATGGTACTTTTTAATGGTAGACTAAAATTGCTGCAAAAATTAGAGGTGTGCGTGAACTCGAAATATCAGATTCCCGAAAAAGTCGGGATTCTCGAAAGAATCGGGATTCCTGACTGAGTTGGGATTTAGGAAAGGATTGGGAACAAGCTTAAATAATTCGTTAAAGCCCACGCCTTCAACTATACCGAAAGATCGCAGATCTAGGACCATCATTCGAGCAATTCCTTCTGTTACAGCTTTTGGTTTAACAATCTTTCGCGTATCACTTTGTACGTGCGACAAATTTTACATCAGTTTCTTTTCTAGTACATGTTTGGATGCATATGCTTCAAATGGCGTAATAGACTAATAGTATTTGCGTACTTAGTTTTAAATTCATGGTGATAACGTGTCCATTCCGCCTTTGTATCTTTTTTTTTTCCTGCAAATGTTCCCAAACAGAGCTTCTCTTTACCTTCTTCCTTTGCACGACATCTTCTGCACTACTTCCTACTACCACAACTTTACTCTCACTATCACTCGACATTTTTTTTTTTTTTTTAAGATTTTCAATCTCTATTAAATTCTCAAAATTTTCGGGAATCTCGAAATTTTCGGGAACCCGGCTCGTCCCGACCATCGATATTTTTAGGTTCTCGCACACCCCTAGCAAAAATGTATTGCAACGTAACCTGACGATAAAATAATTACTGAAAAATCATTGGTAACACGTGTCTTAGTTTAGAAAACTCCCGAATGTGCACAGGAACACAAATTTTAATTCAGAGAACTGAATGCACGTCATAGTTTCTATATGTGTGTAATTTTGAAATATGGCACGCGAGCTTGCGAGCTATTGTGTTGATACGAATGCACCTGAGAATTGACACAATTCTACACAAATATACAATATAAGTGGTATCACTCTTCTGGATCCTATTGGGAGCATCACTAAACATTCTGATTCCCAAGATTCGACTACTTGCGAAAGATTTGAATGTTATAAAACGTCAAACGTACCTGTGAGTAGATTTTCGAAACTTGCAGGTACACATTTTAGGGTTCAAAAAAAAGGCGACGTCGCAATGTATTCATCATTTCAACGTTTTTATTCGACATGAACTTGAACGTGAAAGTTCATTGACACAATGAACCTGACTTATAAAACGAACTATAAAACAACCCTTAGACACCAAACGTGACTTGGATTGGACTTGAACCTTCCTTCTGATCGCGAATAACCGAAAAGCTACAATTTCCTGGATGAAACTCTATAAAGGAGGTATTGAAATTGTTGTCAGCAACGAATCGAGCAATAAATCACGAGCGAGTGAGCAAACAATTCGAGCGACGTATTGTAAAAATTCGCGCGCGAGTGCGGATAACTCGCGAACGCGACAATTTCGAGGCGATTGATAACGCCACTGAGACGAAAGCTGGTTTCAATCAGGGGACGTTTATCGATGAAAACGGCCGGCTAACGAAATTAAAAAACCGACTCGCGTTTGATCGTCCGTCGCCCGCCGGATTCCTCCGCCTGCTATTTCCCGATAGAACGCTTTTGCACGCGTGTAATTTCCAACTGGTTTAATATTCCATTCGTCCCTGTCCTCGCTGAAGCCAAACGAACCGCGAAAACGCGCCGATAGCTCGACGAAGTTCGAATAGGAAATAAATCTGACCAAATTAGCCAGATTTCTCGAGATTTCTCAAGGCTCGTTGAAATTCACCGGCGAACGGATTCGCTGTGAAGCGTTTCCTCTTTAGGTGAATCAAATAGAAATTATAGATTAGACGACATTCAACAGAAAATTTGAGATAGAGAAACGGTCCTGTTTGTACGAACACTTAATGACGACGTCGAAATCGTAATACTCCAGTATGGTTCAGTGAAATAATTCGAAATATTGTCAATGGTGAAAAATTGTGGCGCGAGTGGTAATCTCAAGCGTGTAACGAACACTAAATCTATTAAATATTCAAGTTCATTAACGATTAATTATTCCAAATGCTCCCTTCTAGGTTTCGTGCACGTACAATAAAATATCGTGATAATCTGGTCTTGCAATAATAAAGTTGTGTCATATAAAATACATTCATGAGTATTTACAAATTTTCAAATATTTTTGTGAACCTGTGTGTGTGTGTGTGTGCAGAGATTCAAATTATTCAAAAAAAAGAACCGTCTAAAATAAAGTCAAAGTAATTAACCCGCAATTTTTCACGGAATTTCGTGATTTGCAAAAATTTTCGTAGATTTGAATAATTTTAAACGCACAAGTCACACATTTTAGTCGCAGCGTTGGTAAAACGAACTCGCGTTAATAATAAAAGCGGTCCATATGAAGCTCCATTATGTGTCGCGTGGAAGGTTTCTTGATGCGGTCGCGACGGGTTAAAACCGCTGCCGTTCCGGCCGATGAAGTAAAAACGTCGGGTAGGAAATTGCATTAACGCTAGTTGAATTTTCAGAGCAGACGCTCGTAACACCGCCGCCGTGGCTGGAAGGACAGTGCGTGCGCAAATCGTGCTTTTGCTGACTTTTACAACGCGAGCACACATGCTCATACACACACACACACTCACATACGACCAAGCAAAAATATTTCACAACGTTGAGTTAACGACACACGTGATACAGTTCTTGCGAACCAATGAGTTTCATTAGCAACGTGTTTCACAACATTCATTTTTTCAATGCGTCTGTCTGTGCATGTGTATCATGGTTCGTTGTATTCAATGAGGTCAGAGTCTGGTAAAACATTGTGAATCATTATTAGAGGATGTTAGAGTGTCTTCAATATGTTTTCTAAATATAGATAAGACGTGGACGTGAATCATTTGAAGCCTAGGAAGTTAAAAATTTGTAATAAAAATACGAGAGATAAAAGGAACGATGTTCTCCGAGATCATCCCGTTTCACAGCGTCGGAAAATTGTTCTTTCATTTTTGAAAATGTTGAAGAACACTAGAAAATTCATACGTGTGGCTAACTGATAAAAAGATTATTTCAATGAGATAAAATGGAATGAACTTTGTAGAATAATAAAATCAATATAGATTCACGGACGTTATTTTTAAAAAAGTTCAAGACGAATAAAAATTTACACGTATGATTGAACTGATGAAAAGAATGATCATTCATTCATTGAGGCAAAGTAGAATAAACTTTGTTGAATAATAAAATCAATAAATTCACGGATCCTTTCGTTCAATCCTGATCCATTCCTATTCTAACAAAAATGATGAAAATTTAGAGCGAATGACTTGTTGATTATCAATAATTCCCTTCTTATTTCACAGTTTTGTCACAACATAAAAGAATGAAACACAAGATTTGGCTAAAGAAAAAAAAAAAAAGAAACACCGAGATACTCGGTAAATTAAACGTTTCAGAAACAAAACTTTGGTAACAGCTTAATCCGGTAAAGGATAAACCTGACGTATCTTTTAATCAGTCAATGTGTACCAGCTCGTGTTTTCTTTTCAAATCGAGGTCAAGTTTGACGTGCCCTACGAGTTACGTAACTGGTACTTCACTCTGCTGGATTGACGTTGAGAGAAAGTTTGAAGTTGCGAGCATTTAACGCGTCATCGAATGAGAAATGTACTTCCCAAACATTTTTATTGAACTAGCGTTCACTCAACCTTTTGCTACAATCCATTCTGACGAATTCTTCTTATATACGAACGTAAACTCCATTTGTTAAATGGACTTCTTGTTGAATACAATTTATTAAAATCGTACACTTTGAAAGTTCACACTCATCCACTCATCCACGTTTTGAGAATTTCATTTCGTTTGCTTGTTGCTTCACCAACATTTCATCAAATTCGTGCAAATAGGCACGATCATTTGATTTGTTTCTTTCGTATCAGAATGTTTTATATAGACAATCCTAATCAATGAATAACAAAATAATTGGCTTATTTATTAAAGTTCCAAATGGGACAACATATTACAACATGTTGAATAAATATGCAATATCAAATGCATTCTTCGTTTGCTTCATGCTCGTTTATTTAATCTTGGACTTTTGGTAATTTTAAACACTCGAAGTGAATGAAATTTCGATTATAAACCGTGCGATCGTGAACTCCATGTAAATTACACGTACTACATCTCTCTCTCTCTCGACAGACAAGTTCATACAAACGAAGTTTCACTGTAACTTTAAGGTCTATTTTTAACACTCATTCGCCCTGATTCTCACGAACGCGGCTCAAGTACATCATAAAGCACTCTGACATCGCCTCTAACGCATTATACGAGTTTTATACGTTGCATTTCAATGCAAGCGAGCGGTTATTGAGCAACCGGAAAACTGACCGACTTAACCGAGCGACTTAAACCAAGCTGGCGCAGCCATTCTGTTCATTATTCGTTCGGAGTTAGGCACGAATAATGCGACGAGTGCATTTGCGTATCGGCGACAGTAATCTTACGAGGGATCGATTTTGATAGAATTGCAAATTGATCCGCTAATGGAGCGTTATCGTACGCCTCTCTGCACGAGAGAGGTCTTCTATTCGAAACGTTTTATTGTCCTGATACAAGAATAGTGATTGACAGACTGAGACTCAGACACTGCACTATCAACCGCATTGAAACACGTACGCTAAAATAAATATTTGCAACAATTCTAAATTATATTAATGTATATAAAGTATATAAAGTATATAAATATTTAAGTATATAAAGTATATAAAATATACTTTATAAAGTATATAAGTTGTAAAGTAAATAAGTAAAGTAAGTATATAAAGTATAAAGTATAGTTACTAAAATATAAAGTATATAAAATTCGAGTGAATCTTTTTAATTTAGATTGTAGATTTAATCGAGTTGAGTATGTTTGTTCAGCGTCGAGGATTGCGTAGCATTGTCTCGTAAAATTACGAACTTTCTCGATGAATTTCGAAAAATGTGTGTAACATTTTCATGTTGCAAGATATTTCCTGTGTATACGATAGAAAATGTACATAAACAATTTACATTTTATAGGCAATAATCTGATAATGGTGAAAATATCGTAATATTAAAATACAGAACACCGCGCGGCGTATTTTTTAAAACAGTATTGCAGTCCATTATCGAATTTTCGCGATATTTGTGAGACAACTTTTTGACAACATCACGATGAAATATTTATGGAAACATGAAACAGAACGGCCGTGCTCCGACGTAACGCAATGAAATCGTAATTTCGCGGACGAGAGGATGAGTAATCGGTTTATCGTTCGACAATTGTGGATTCATAGCTGTTTTAGGAGAACATAAAATCAATAGCACTCTCTGTAATCTGTATATAACCAGATTATTTTACGTTTTTAACGTGGAAAAGAAAGAAACACGAAGGATATTGCTTTTCAAGACGCGTACAAAGCGTACTTTATATCATTTAGACTGGATAATCATAAAAGTCTGCGCCGAGTTTAAATTGACGTGAAATCCAAACGTGATGAGGTGTTCAGCTCTGTCGATTTCAGCTGGAAGTAGAGCAACGAAAAATTGAAGAAAAAATCCCATAAACTTCGCGTTCATCGCCCGAGATGAGGAACATTTTTACGACGCGCGAATTATCATCCACTATCTGTTAAATATTCAACGAACTGCCCATTGAAACGTCGAAACCGAAGTTTCTACCTCAGTGAATAATTCTTTCAAATATTTGAGAGAGAAGAAATATGATATATACATGCACGCGCGCGCGAATAACTAAATTTCACGTTTCAGTTCACGATAACGTACCGTGACATTCGATGAAACTATTTTACAACTGACCTGCTTGCACTAGGTCAACACGAACTGATGAACACAAATAGTGCTGCAAGTTATGCGAACGATGCAACCACGTGAAACGATCGTGCAAATACTTCGCGGAGAATTTCGAGGATAATGCACACGCACATGGTCCATCGAATTGCTAACTGGCTACCGTCCGGCGAAATTTGCAAACGAAGGCCAACAATTTCCATAAACTTTGAATATCGCAGTCGCCTAAAATAAGACTTCCACCAAAAAGAGATTTGTTGACGTACGTTTCACGTTGTCTATGATATACACTGTATGTATGGGCATAAGCACATAAATTAATGCAATATACAGTCCCAATGAATCTTTTTAATTTGATCCCTAATATATACAGTTAATAGATATTGATTATAATTAGGTGACAATAACAAGACTTTATATATCAGATGATAATTATAGTTTATCGAGTTTTTGACCATATTGAAAAGATTTATGCAGACTTTACGAAGCATCGAGCAAACGAACGAAACTTGAAACTAAATTTCATTATGCTAAAAAAATTTAATTCAAATAAAAATAAATAAATAAATTTCTGGAAAAACAATCGTAGATCTTAAAAGGTAAGAAAAATATCAAAGCTTTTAATGGAATTGTTCTAAATAGGCACGGTAGTGAAATTTATCAATGACAAGGAAATTTTAAAAATTACTCGCATGTCTTTCAAACTTTTCCAAGAAATTCCGAAATTTTTCTACGAGTAAGAAATTTCATTTAACTTAAGCATCGTTATTAATTTAATTAACATGTTGCAATTTTATTTAAAAAAAAAAAAAAAAGCGAATTTCACGATCCTCTTTCTTCGAGGAATAATCCACACGTTATCGAAAATCAGCAACATATTTTAATTAGACGGCGGAACGAGTTGGCCTCTAATTACAACTTCGCTTTGCAGTCTCCCGTGTCACGTCGTTTCTACGTTCGCATTGTGGAATTTTTCCCTTTCTTTCTTTCCATTTCTTTCTTTCTTTCTTCTTTTCATTTTTCGATGCTCTCTCGTTGCGCTTACGGAACACACGCTGAGCGAGGGGACAGAGGGAAAAAGCGAGAAAAAACAAAGGAAAGCCACGCGGATGCTCGATAATAAGTGGTTTAGCCGGGGAACACGATGGCGTGGAATCTCTCTCGTTGTCTCACTCTCGTCAGGTGGCGAACAAGAGTTCAGGGAGGATTCGATTCCGTCGCAGTCGACAGAGCCAAGGGCTCGAAATATCACGTGTCGATGAGGAAATAAAATAGGCGTTTCAGTGTGCACGGCGAATGGTTTATTGTGTTGCCAGGCTTATCGAACGTCGAGCCTCTGTCGAGGGGTGAATCTCGGCGAGTACGGAGTGAAACGTACCTACCTCCGCTAAAAATAGAATTTCCAAGAGCACCCTTCGGCAACTACGTACACACATACGGTTTATTAACACTCTGAACACGAATACTGTGAAATTTTAAGTCAGCAAAGAACCAGCCTTTCGACTAATTGAATTAATACAATTACGCGGGTCCCGTTGTTGTTTGATATGTTCCGGCCGATATGAGCCCATCGTATTCGATGTATTCCGGTAAATAACATAATGACAATGTGATTATAGAAAATTAATACGAGAAATGTTACAGACAGCGTCGAGCTCGTTTTGAACACGATTTCAGCAGTGTTTCTGAATCGTGATCCCTTGGAAATTAATACGGGTGACGAAATACGTTGTATGCAAATGACTTTATAACTTTTCCTTTTATGTATATTGTTTCCACGAATTCTATTCACGGTCTCTCGATTGACGTACAATATATCAAAACCCTGCCTTAATGTAGGTCGAAGCATCTCCTCTTCGGGGAGATGAACAGCCCCGACCGTGAGAAACAAAGTCCTCCGGACGGTGCCCAAGTTTTCCAATTAAACCGTGTTTATTACTCGGAGAAAATCGGGGTCGAGGTTTTCCATTCGCATTCAGAGGGCGAGAAAAGGCTGCAACCGCAAAGTAGCTTACCTGGGTGATGGTATAGGACGAGGCTTATCAAGCGCCAGATCCGAGCTCAGAGGCGAATCAGGTCCGCGGACGCTGGAAGCCCTAGACAAACAGAATTATCGTTAGCTCGATTGTTATTTGGAAGCCAATAACGTATAAGGGGGTGCTTTGTCTTACGTTTGTTTATAAGGTCGTTGACCAGTATATGGTACACGTGCAATATCGTGCTATCAGTAGTAGTTATCGTATTTAATAACAGCATACAACACTACCCGATTCTAACCTCTGAACACTAACTTATAACATCTGCAAACATTGTGCAATATTTTGGAGCAATCTCGTGACATAGGCGTCGATATTAAACTAGAGGATCGAGTAGCCTATATGTGACGTGCCCTGCAACATATTCATCAATTTATGTATACGGGAAATGTTACCATAACCTATAGTGTTTATGAACGAAACTTTGATGTAGTTTCGTAGGAACCGCGCCCTTATTGAATTTCACCGGATCAAGTAATCGACACATGGTGTGCTCTAATACATATTAATCAATTCGTACACGATGGGGAATCAAAATAATCTACATATACGCACGTTGTACAAAATTTTGAAGTAATTTCACAATGTCTGTGTATCGTTATTGAATTTCACTGAATCGAGCAATCGACACATACAGTGCAACATACTAATCGATTTGCAAGTACAGCAGAGACCTCAAAATAACGTATATATAATCTACCTACATATTGCGCAAAATTTTCGAGTAATTTCACGACTGTGTTGTTACAAAACGATTACAGGATAGAATAACTGATACACAGTATGCTTTGCAACACGTTAATCGATTCAAGTACAGCAGAAATGTCAAAATAACCAACAATTTATTAACACGTATTGTACTAAATTTTGGGATAATTTCGCGATAACCGAGTCATTATGGAATCATCACAACATAGAACGATCGATATGCGATGTAATTTGCAGTATGTTAATCAACTTACGTGTGCAGGAGATGCATTATTTGTAAACATTTGACAGCGGAATTTTTCTGTCACCCTACACCAAACATGGCGACGCACTAGACTCAGATTTGATCGACGCATGCGCGCACGCTCTAAATTGGGCGCGAAGACTCGTGGAAGCGTACGCAGGCGCACGAGTTTCGAAAGATCTACAATCGATATCCCAGTGCATTATATGTACGTAACTCGAGTTTCTAATTATTACGAAATATCATAAAACGAATTTTTTTACTAATTATGATTCTTACAGTTATGAATGGGTAATATTACAATTTAAGCTACGTATTTATGTAATTTTATGCGGAGTTCAATATTTCCACGAGCCTTCAAACTAAAATCGTCCAAATTATTATAATTACGCTATGAAAATAAAACCTCGGGGATCAATGGTAAATTATTGAGTTTCACCAGATTGAGTAATCAATGATGCGCTCTACTACAAATTAATCAATTCATATAGGATGAAAACTCAAATCTAAGTATGTGCACGTTGTACAAAATTTTCGAGTAATTTCACAATTGTGTTGTTACAAAACGATTAGAGGATGGAATAACTAAAACATGATATACTTTGCAACACGTTTGTCGATTCAAATACAACAGAGATGTCAAAATAACCCACAATTTATTAACACATTTATTAACATTATTGTACTAAATTTTGGGATAATTTCGCGATAATCAAGTCATTACAGAACCATCACGACATAGAACGATTGATATGCGATATTATTTACAATATGTTAATCAACTTACGTGTGCAAGAGATGTATTATTCGCAAATTTTCGACAGCAGAATTTTTCTGTCACACTCCATCAAACATGGCGTCGTACTAAACGCAGATTTGATCGACGCATGCGCACACCCTCCAAATTGGGCGCGAAGATTCGCGGATGCGTACGCAGGCGCGCGGTTTTCGAAAGATCTACAATCGATATCCCAGTTATGTACCATTATGTATACGTAATTAAAGTTTCTAGTTATTATTATTATGGAATATCATAAAACGAATCTCTTTTACTGGTTATGGTTTTTATAATTATAAATGAACGATTAGTTATGAATATATAGTTATGAATGGATGTAGGATTGAAGCCGCGTATTTATGTAATTTTATGCGGCGTTCAATATTTCCACGAGCCCTCAGCTTATTAAATCATCGTTCCAACTGCTATAATTACGCTATGAAAATAAAGTCGCAGGGATCGATGGTAAATTACACGGTATACGGCTTAAATTATTGGAAAACAGGTATCTCCGGTAGACGGGTCAAACGATTATTCTGAGAATAAGCTGTGCAGGATATTCACCCCTCTGTGACGTTACGTGACGACGTCGTTACCGTGCATACGCAAATACTGCGTCGTGGTTATTCAGACGCAGCGATGCGTCAACGGAGACGTCTCGTGAATTTCTTTTTGCCGCAACGTACGCGCGTAATTCGTTGCAGTTGCATAACACTGCGGGAGCCTTGTCCACGCTTTTACGAGCCGTATCCTTTTAAACAACTTTAAAGAAACGGAACGAACCGCGTATCAAGCGTAAAATACATTTTCCCGCGGCCACGCCCTGCTCTTGCTGCAGATTCTATTTTCGTTGCTCTTTCCTCGATCGCCGATACTATAAAACGACAACATTCAACTCGAGCGTCCATTACGACCATGTTACGCAACTGCGAATAACGCGTTTCTTCCCGTATTACGATATTCGTATTTTTTTTTTTCGTCGCCGATGCGACGGGGCCTGATATCGCGAGCCAGCCTTTCGTGAGAGCGTATCGTAACTCAACTTCTGGCGCCTGACTGCGCGGCATAAATTAATAACTCGAACGAACAAACGCGACAACCTCGGCGGCACTTCACGCACAATCGTAGAAATTAATGCTCCGGACGCGTCGAGCGGCAAAAGCGATCGCGTGATCGCACCGATAAAAGTGCAACGCAGAAAAAACCCGCCGCGATCGTTTCGCCGATTCCGTCTTGATCTTTGTTGGGATTACGCAACGATACACCTTCATTTCGTTACCAAGCTTCGATTTGTTTGCGAGCACTCGAATTTATTTATCCGTGAGTAGCTCCGCGCGCTCGCTTCGATGTCGTAATCGAGCGTTCCGCGTGAAAATGATAGTCACGAGGGAACTTATTAGTCCCACGACAGTAGAACTTTCTAATGCCATGATTAATGCGCGGTTTTAGGCAACCCGGACCCTGGACTGAGAAGTTCGACGTGATTGACCGATACCCGGAGCCGCGGTTTCGCGTATCTCATCCTCGAGTCCTCTTAGGATCATACTCAACGATTGGGTAATTACTCGCCGCTGTTGCAAGATAGCCGATAATCCCCAGCAACTTAAAAGCTGTGATTAATCACCGCGTCAACTTGGAACGAATATTTTTTTACGAAACGTTTAACACTCGGCAAAAGCTGCCGAGTATTTTCTACTTGGCAGATTGCATGCCGCATTGCGCCTACTCGCGCGTAAACGTTGCATTTCCCGCCGTTTCGTCCACAAGGGTCGGCGAACCTTTTACCAAAATTGCATTGTTACGAGCCGATTTGGAATACCGCACTCCCTATTTATTCCGTTTTCCATCAATATTACGCATAATATTGATCGGCTTTGTTAAGCAAATAAAAAAAAAAAACAACATGAGAAACGATGCTGAAAGTAAAGCACCGTTGCGATATTATGTTATAAACAAACGGCGGAGTTTCATACATTTCCACAGATATAACGTTCGTTACTTTAAATAGAATCTAAACAGAAAATTGTTTCACGTGCTACGTATTGCAACTGAAATGTGGATCTTCAAAAGCAAATTCATGCATTTGAAAATGTATAATTAAAACAGTACCCAAGTGAAAAATTGCTGAACGCTTCAAATTTAATTTGGAAAGCTGTGCCGCACTTTTACAGGGAATTTTACGCGCATCCCGTGCAATTTTCAAATGTTTCGTAAATATATTGAAACCTTCACTCTGTATTTCAACTGGTGTCGAGTGTGTCTTTGTACACTGTGGCAGTTACAAACCACTCGACGATTGCATCCACCGCGTGCAAACCTTTCTCTTCTCCAACTCCAGGATTCACCGGACGAAGACAATCCGCGACTTCTCAGCTTCCAGCTGCTTGGACAGTTATTCTCGTGATTAATGCCACCGCGACGAGGGTAAATATATTTCAACGTAATGAAAGAGAAAGACGAGATCCTCCAGCTAGATTTCCAGTCGGAGTGGAGACGTGCAATTACGAGGTACTGGCTAATTAATAATAATCATCCGCGGATCACACCCGTGATAAAGCCTGCACATTATCGCGGATTTCAGCCGAACCAGCCGTTTGTAATTACGTCCGCCTTTGAAAGTGGCGAGCCGGGCACGTTTATACGGTTAACGCATATTTATCTCAATTAAAATACCGTTCTGAAAACGTCTGCGACTGCTTGCACACAGCTAGGCGCCGTCGTTAATCAATTAAGAAGCGAAACCGTGTACAGGATGTATCTGTAATTAGGCTCGTTCGATTGATTCCGCGAGAAAGAACTCGTTCGTTTGAACGATCGTCTGTCGAACCACTTTTCTGTCGTTTGTTTCATTGATTTTGACGTCGTCTGGCAGGATGATCTTTGGATAATCCTACGTTTCAAACGTCAATCAGAGAACAAAATCGGAATGATCTTGTTGTCAGTCTTTCTGTGATTTGTCGCCAAAAGTCGATTTCGAATGGGAACTGACATCAGGATATCAGGAATGATTGACCCATTTGGTTTATTGATTACTTAATTAATCGATAATAAATTCGTAACTTTTGGCGAACTATTGAGGTGGATTTTTACGTAATAATTTTTACGTAATATAAAATACGTAAATAAAGATTTGTATATGTTGTCGTACTACAAACGTTAGCCAAGGTCGCTAGAAAATTCAGTTTATTTTTTAATTACGAAACGAAGTGCAAACGAAAGAGAGAATCCAAAATTATCCACTAGTAGTTTCTCGTCCGTATCGAAAGCAAAAAAAAAAAAAAAGAGAGAAAGGAAAGTAATCAGCAATTTCATCGATGAACGTTTCAAAAA